CTTGTCTTCTCTTCTTTTTAAAGTCTATAGCCATTTTGGGTGACTCATGAAAAATTCAAATCTAATTTTTTCCCTGCATATTTGTCGAAAAAATGTAATATGGCGTTTTAAAACGAATTTCAATTTTCATTTACTGTCGATATCTTGAGGCGCATTAGAAAATATTTTAGCAAAGAAGTATTAGAAATGAGACTATGATATGTATTATAAGAATTCGGTTTTATGTATGAAAATCGATTGCCGTGGAAATTTTAAATATTAATTTATTGAAACAATATCTTTGTAATGTGATACTATATTTTCAAAGTGGAATATAAAAGTTAAGTTTTACTTTATAAAACTGAAAAAATAACATTAAATTCCTAGTATTACAACTTGGGTTTTCTTTTGATGTTAATATAATTTTATGAAGTTTCAAAATTTTAATAAATTTAGTCAATATTGTTACAAGTTTGGAAATAAATGAATTCACCATTAAAATGAAGATATTTGTTTTTTTTTCTTAATAAACAAAAGTATTCATTGATAATTTATTTCATTTGAGGTGAAGAATCGAGCTGCTAATTAGGATTACGACACACATTCTCATATAAGGAGCCATTATCGGAATTTCTAACATTCGACAATACTACAATGAAATATAGTTTTAAGCATGAGTCCTGGTCTCAAAATACAACTGGATGAAACTAATATGTAATAAATTCAAATTTAAAGTCACTTTTAAAAAAATTCGTATGATAAATAAATATTTTATAAAATAGCTATTGTGTATCTGAATTTAAAGTCTAAGAAAAAATGCTGTGCTAATATAATACAATTAAGTTTTATATTTTATTTTGAAAATATAGAATCATATTACCTTAAAAGATATTGCTTTAATAAATTGTTTTCATTTCAGTAATAAAAATGACTGCACTTAGTAGAATTTATAACCTTTCATTTATTTAATAATTATTACATCTGCAGGAATCATTAATTAGTATAATATTTAATATATAAATTTTTACGGATAATATGAAATTTATAAATTATGTTTTTTATAAATTTATATATGTTAAAGTAGGTATATATATATGCACTTTACATCCCATTACTTAAATTTTAAAATAAATACGAACTTTCTTTTATAACTTATTAATTGCAATGTGGAATACACTGAAAGTAGATAGGCCTATATCTTGAGTGTACAGAGAAATAATTTCTCGCTCTTATTCTCTATAAAAGTATATAATCAGTCTGATTGTCGATGTAACATTGTTTCGCATAAGCTGATTAGGATACATAGGAAAACACTTGGCTTAACAATTTTTTTCAGCTGCATAATTTTACTTCGGCTTTTCCATAAATGCTTAATATTTGATGTTTATAACTTCAGTACATACTTATCAGCAAAAAATTATGAAAATATTTTAATTTAGTAACCAGAAATCTTTGAAGACTACCACTCAAATTTATTTCATCAACATGGTCGAATTGTTTCAAATTACAACTCCGATATAAAAGCTTTCAATTAAAACTTGATGAATACTTTTGAATTGCAATTAAACATAAATTTAATTTTATAAAACCTCTAGAATATGGAGAAGTTTCAGATACTTCACATTTTCGAATTCGTTTTCTTAAATTGGAATACTGAAGGACCAAAAAAAAAAAAACAAGAAAAAATATCATATGAAATTTTTACTTAACGACTAAACTCTATGTTACATATAAAATTTACTATGAATTATAGAGTTTACCTTTTGTATTTTATGACTAACCATTGAACATTCAGTAATCTGTAGCAAATTTCAATTAATTAGTTAAGTTTTAACTTATTAAAACTAGAATAATTTTTATTTTTACGTAGAGATTTTTACAGAAAAATCATTTATTTATATGTTTTTTCATTGTTTTTAACATTTTGTGTAACAATATTTATTTTTGATTCACTGAAAAACTTGTTAAAATTCTTTTAAATAATATAGAGCGAATTATTTAATATTTTAATTCTTGAAAAGAGAACCATACACATGAAAAAATTGATTTATTAAATTTATGCCTGTCGTTGTTATAGTCTTAATAAAATTTAACAAATTCTAAAAAAAATTAAATAAAAATTTAAATTGTGTTTTATTTTTGTTTTAACATTTTTTTGATATCTAAGAAATACAACTTTTACAAAAATTTTAAAATTTAAATATTTGAAAATACATTTTAAACATTTAATTGTCTGAAGTTATAAATAGAAAACGGTGTTTTTATTTTGAAAATTATCTAAAGACTTCTATACATAATTAATTATTCATTATAATTGCAAAATATTTTAAATTTAATTAAACAAAATTTGATTAATTAAACATTGCTATAAATTGTAATTTATATTAGTACTAAAATTTATTTATAATTTTTTAGCAAATAAATGAAGAAGTTTGAAATATTAAAAAATTACTTTCTTATTTATTTCTTTAATTTATGAAATAAACGTGTAGAAAATTTTAATTATAAGTTATATTTTCTTACAATCCTTAAGAAAATAATACAATATACAAAAGCTTAATATAAAATTCTCTTTATGGAGTTAATTGAGTGAAAAATGATTTTATTATAGATACATTTAAATTTGCACATTAAAAAGATGTATCATAATGAAGCAGTAACTTTATGTTGTGAATATTAATGATGTGCTAATATTATATATATGTTAGATATCGTGTATATTGTGTGTAATTACGTATTACACTGGTAATGAAGTGTGTATGAAAAATAGTAGAAAATTATCCGAATTACATACAGGAAATTAGATTTGATAAACCTGTAGAATATTTCTCGATGATAACATAATTTTCAAGAATTTATGTCCTTCATCTTCAAGATTAAATTTCAAGCTGTACAAAAATGTCTCAGAGACGTTTATAATCAATAAAACTTTTCCCAAAGCATAATCATTCTATTAGTTGTGATTTTACTGATTATGGTCAAGGGACTTCGATATCATTTAACTTAATTGTTTTAGATTTTCGATAAATTATAATTTTTAAAGTTGACGTAAAAACGTTTATAGGAGTCAAAAAATAATTTCAATAAATGTAAATTTATATATTTATTTTTAAATAATTTTACTTGAAAAATGTAATTTTTAATAAAGGACGACAATGGTGTTATTAATACATCACAGTATTAGCTAATTAACTGTTGTATAGATATTAAAAATTAATTAGAAATAAGAATAAATGTTGTATTAATTTTTTTTTGACGTAAGAAACACGAAAAGTAAAATAGCTTTCATTAAAAACAATTAAAAGAATAATTAGAGTTTTTTGTACTTTAATTATTGTTTTCATTTTAATTGCATATTGATTACCTTGTCCTATGTTGCACATTATTTGCATAAAACTTTAAACAAATAAAAAGAAATAAATAATAAGTAATAGTTCTCATTTAGTAAAAAAAACTTGAGAAAATTTTCTAAAATACTATTATTACGTATAAATAACAAAAGCGTATTAATAGAAGAAATACAAAAATAAATAACATTATAATTTAAGAAATTGTTAAATATGTTTAAAACATTTCTTAAAAGTGCAATTGAACAATTTTAATGAATAAATAATAATAAAATTTTGATATAATTTAGAAAGAAAAAAAAATTAAAATATGAATGTTTTAAAGGTAAACGAAGGTAATATATTATTTATCTTGCATATTCTCATAAGAAAAATTATAGGTTTTCTAATTTTGCGATATAATTACATTTTTAATTAGTCAGTTTATGCTTTACGTTCTATCCTGAGAGAGTTCAATTACATTTCACATTTAATTAAATAGAAATATATTTTATCTTTAAGTTTAAACTTTCCTTCATCATTTGGATGTATTTAATTGCAATGAAATATATTCAATCATTCCAGAATTTCTTAGTCGAATTCAGTTAGAACTGAAAAAAACCTAATTTTAAAAATTACCTATTATTTTTTGTTTGTTTATGTTTTATGTTTAACAACTGATCAGTCCATAATTAAAAAGTTATTACTTTATAAATGATATAAAATAAATAAAATACTTTAATAAAATTAAATATTTTAAGTTTAAATAATTTAGTTATAAAATTACGTAAATTTTCATATATTAATGTAAAAACAAATTTTATACACAACTTGTAATCTATTCTGTAATAATTTTCTGTATAATAAAATCATTTCTTTGAAGAAATTGGACAATTGATTTTTTAATTTGTTAAAAATCCAGAAAATCCGGAAATCACTCATGAAAGGAGTCAGCAAATATAGTTTAATAATAGGGTAGGCGTTAAGCTAAAAAAAAGGGAACCACCTTTATCAATTTTACGAAGTACTTCAAGTTTTTTCAACGTCACAATAGCTTTTTTTTTCTTTCAGCTGACATTACTGTACCTCACAATTCACAATAAAATGCGTTCTAAGTCAAAGCACATCACATTGAGTTGTAGTAAAGTGCAGGAATGCAATATAGTAGCTTTTTTTAAACTAAAAAACATTAAGTTTTAGGCATGTACCTTGTATTTACTGCACTATATCACTAATGTGCTTCTTTAACTGATCTAGATAAATCGAATAACTTTTAGATCACGATCCGATAAACGACTTTTTACTATAATATTTCGTATTCTTGCTGTATATTTTTTATGATGTATTCTTACTTTAAAATTAATATCGTGTCGTGATATTTTATTATTTAATGTAAATTTAATGTGATATCTATAATAAAAATATGATAAATTTTTAATAAATTTATGAAATTAATATAAGAAACTCGAATATAAGTAAGAATGTAATGCTTTATTGACACATTAAAACAAATGTGTATTTGAAACAGTGTCTGGAATGATAACAGACACAATAAAACCATGATCAAAATTGATGCGATATCTACCAAATATCATTTCTAAAGCAGAAATATTGTGTTATTTAGATTCTTAATCTTTTGATACTAAACAAATTTTGATTATAAATATTTTATATACAAACAGTTTAGTGATACAATTGATGCAACATCATTTTAAGATTTAATATAACATAAAACTCATGCATAAGCTTTACATTATATAAAATCTAATAAACTATTATATATTAAAATCAGTTAAGATCAATTGTAATGTTTTTTCTATTCAAAATTAAAAAAATGTTATAAAATAAAATATTAGTGAATGCATTATTACGTAAAAGTGATCGTTGACGAAATTCGTAGGATAAAAAAAATTTCCTGTACATATACTCATTAAAATATTCCTCGACTCATTCGCAAATTCATGTTGGGAATTTGTCTTAATCTCCTTTGCTTGCTTTATACTGTACAATTTCAGAAAATGTCAGATAATGTGATCTGTCTTCTGTTAATAAATAATCAATTACTGTATAGTAACAATGTTAAAACACTCGCATCAGTATCCTCGATCGATATCAAAGATGATCTTTCACCAATCGTCAGCGTTGGATGGAGATTTATCAATCTTGTTGACTTATATTCCACAATTCACAGATTATGACACGTGGTAAGGCTGCAGGTGTTAATATTTTCCATCATGGTTTGTTTCTTTACCACCACATTTTATCCTCCATCGAGGAATGCTATAATTTTCTTATGTCAAGATTGTTATAAATAAATCAGACGTGTTTCATACATCATACATCAGTTTGAATGTTTTTCGGGTGATGCATAGAGCGCGGTAATGTCCACTCTCCACGCATAGGCGTTCCACTTGGAGGCACTTTCTTGACTTGCTGAGATTGTGTATAATCACTCATTGGAGCCACTTGTATAACATTTCTTTGTGGCAACATTGGAGCCGTAGGAGAAGGCACTTCTATCGACATAAATCGTTGATTGACCTAATGGAAGAATATAATGGTTCTATTCTCAAAGATTTCGCATAAAAACAACTTACATTTTAGACTACATTTTATACTATACAGTACATGTAATATACTGAGAACCTATATTATTATTTATGAATACTATAAATTCATAAACCTGTTTGTTCGTGCTAAATTCCGGTCCTGCCAAATTTATTTCTGCCTCTCGAAGATATGTTGCTTCCCATAAAACATCTCCCATTACTTCTTTCTCGATGTCTGATGATCGCTCAGTAACAGCAATTCCTATTCGAATTTAAACAACATAAAATTTAATACTAATTCCTTTACATTTTAATGAAATTTAAATGTAATAAGTTAAATTACAATTAAAACAAAATCATATGCAATAAATATTTATACAATTTAAAATTTAAACTTTAGATTTTATTATTAAAATATTAGAAAATTAAATATTTTGATATATACTTTAAATAAATATAAATAAATATTATCCTTAGACATAATTTTAATGATTACACATTAAATAGTATAATTACCTAAATTTTAAGATAACACATATTAAAATAAAGTGATTTAATATTAATATATTTTAATTGATATTTTTAGCTTCTAGTGGAAAAATTGGGAGTATCGATCAAGATGAAACTCAGGTTGAGTTGTATACGAAATCAAAATTTACCGGGTATTATATCCGGGCATTTATCTTCTCTTTCTCTAATGGATGCCTGTGGCTCTCTCTTATCATCCGTATCTTGTCTCAGTGGAGTCCGACATCTATAAACATGAAATTAGTTCCGTTGATTAATTTGACAATGATACACATTCTTTGTTTGTCTTTGAACAACTGATTTATTTTGATCAGAAAATTAATTGAAAGTATTTTAAGTGCACGACATGAAAAATATTAACTAAATTTAGACGATGCAAAAGAAAATTTTTGTAAATAAAATGTATATTTAATAGATTAAATTTAGTAAAACTATTTTTATTATAACTTAAATACAGACTTCATTTTATTTGTTTAAATATATATTTTAGATAATGTAATTCTTATTTATTTATTAAATGTTTTAAATTCATCATTTTATTTTTAAAATAAATATTGCAATTAATAAGTACATTTATATTACGAAGATGTAATTTATGTAATTATTATTATTGTCATTATTATTAATACAAGTAATATTCATTTGCATGCTAGCTTATTACACATATCAATAATGATATGTTAAACATATAATTAAGTGTAATATTCAGTATGATTATTTAAAAAGCATAGTAATGATAATAATATAAACTCCGCTGGTTTATAATAAAATAATTTTGACAAATTTCACATTTATTTTCAAATATTAATAAATGTTATAAAATTTAAAATAATGTTTATAAATTCATTTTAAAAACTGCTGGAAGAATTATGAAAGAAGAAATCACATTTGCACTTACTTGTCACTTCCATAATCCCCGTGGTCTGCAGCATGTAAAATGAGATAAATTTGCAAATTTCGAATGCAAAAGACGATAAAATAATCGGAATAAAGTATAAGAATTTCTTTCAATAATTTATTTTAACCTTATCAATTCGTCAAATAAGTTAAAATTGAATTGTTTGTATGTTTTCTCTTTTATGAATTTATTAATAAATTGTATTTGTAGTGTCTGAAATCAGATATATAGTTGTTAAAAATTACTAAAATGTAATATAATTGTATTAATAAATAGAATTATCTAAATTTGATATTGAAGATATATTTTAATAAATGTAAAATATGAAAAACATTCATTTATTTATAAAAATAGTGTATACATAGAACAAGATTACTAAAAATGTATTGTATATTAAACAGTTTGTAAGTTGTTGTAAATATGATTTTTAAATAAAATATATTTCTTTATTTTTATTCTCTTAGATTATTGTGTTAAATATATAATGATACTTTCTGTTATCAGTTATAAAGGAATATCTATAATCACAAGTGAAGATATTCATGTTACGTATTAATATATTATATAAAAAGTATAACGCGCTATATTTTTGGTTGTGGCGAGACATATCATAAAAAAGTAATTGGAATTTTGGTATCTTCCAGCACGCGATTGACTCATTTTTTCGTCATTTAATATCCATAGTATAATTTTGACCTAGTTCATATTATATTCGTTATGAAAAATCTTTTATTATATAAATGTCTCTTATGATTATTATATGAATATTTTTAATTCAGAATATTTATGACTATTTAAATAAGAAAATAACTTTTTCAATATTAATACAAAAATATCAGAGTTTCAAGATTTCATAGGTGAATAAAGTTAACAAATTATGACATAAAAATACAATAATCTTTCTATATAAATAACAGATATAAAATAATTGTAAAATATTTTTTATTTCTCAAAATGTTACTTAAATTATTAGATTTGGTCTAGGCTCTAGGCGCTTTTAATTTTGAAGATTTTGAAAATATATAAATATCAATAACATAACAACATATACAGAATTTTGATTATTATAATTATTTTTGATAAATTTTATGGTTTAATTGTATATTTACTAAACCTTATTATCTGTATTTACATATAGAGTGATAATTATAATTTGAATCATATCTTATCTATCATAATTATGATATTATATAATTACGATATAATGGTTGCTAGACTTGAAAAGTCAACATTTTGAAGTTCTCCTAATTATCCCTGTCACGAGGCCAGAAGTTATGATAAATTCTTATAAATTTAACTTAAAGTTTTAATTGCAAAGACTGATTAGAAATTAGTTTCAAAAAGTAAGAATGGAATAAATTAAGCATAGACTAATAAGCTGCATGTCATTAATTTAATGCGTTTATTCCTTTGTGGATTAACAGTTTTGTCTGGAAATTCCATGTATTACCTATTGACAGTCGAGACAAGAATAAACGTTTTCTTGAATTTAAATATAAAGCCTTTTTTAACGTAAATACCAACACTAGAAATTCATAATGACGTTAATCTTTATAATCATAATTTACATATTTAAAAAATGCAAATATTTAATTATATTAACTTTAAATACAAGTAGAAATAATAAAGCCTTGTCTTTGACAGAATGTAAATTTATATGGCAATTGTAATTAAAACTATTTTTATACACATTTAAATTAATAAGCACAGTAAAAAATAAGTCGATACGTTATTAATTATTAAAAGAATTATCAGATGGCTAAAGGAATATTTTTCAAAATTAATTGTATAAAATTTTAAAATATTTTAAAAAATATACTATCAGTGGCACAATCAGGAATGGTGAAGGGGCGAGTGCTTCCCCTAAAGATAATTTTAAACAAAAAGTGATAAAAACAAAAAAAAAACATGCTTAGTTACTGTTTATAATGCTTAAATGACATTACAGTAAAAATATTTTTATTATACATTTATAATAAAAAATTGGAAAAATATTTGCCCCATGTTTGAAGCTTCTGATTGCGCCACTGAGTGCTATATTAACTCACTTTTATGAATATTATTTCTTCTCCTCGCTTTCATCACTAAAATAATGAGTACTGCGACTAGTACAAGACATACTATAACTGCTATTACTCCAATGATTATAGGACTAATGTTTACTTGCCAAATATCATCTATAAAATTTTAAATTGTAATATTAAACATTTGAATTCTCATTAAATAAATAATATCAGAAAGAATATTAACATTTTCATTCAATAATTGTTATGAAAAATACCCTAATATCTTTTAAATAAAATATAAAAACCAGCAACGAATTGAGTAACTTTTCCGGCTGTTAAGAGATTTTATTTTAAAAATAACTTTTATGTTATTAATCATACTGTTAATAAATAAATTGTGTGTGGTGTCAACTGTTATGAGATTTTATGATTAAAAAACTTTTAATATTATTAATTATTATAAAATGGCAAAACGCTGAATTTTGAGGGTGGATATGAAATTTATAAAAAAAATTGTAAATGTCAGTAACGAGTAAAATCTTCATTAAGTCCGATCCCTCTCGCCCATGTGATATATGACGAGAGGGATCTATCTCTCCATCCTGTCAGTGGCACGTTATAACTTCATGATGACCAGGCAAATTTGAATTAGGGGACCTCATGTTCAATATAAATTTCACACATTTGTCTTTGGGGAAAATATTTTCTTATAAATTATTGGTCTGTCAGTGGAGACCCCAGACAATTTTCTATTTTTCCCAAAGAATAACGTGCCGCCGCACTCTGTTGATCTTTAACCATCAAAATTTAATAGCATCAATACCCCTCAGATACACTCTACCATACTAAATTTTGTTTCTTAATCGTTACCCCCATCTTGAGATATTAAACGAAATAGTCGCCAATGAACACATACATAACGGAATTTTTTTCCTTTAATTTCTTTTGTCTATTTTGTGTTCAGGGGTCTCATAACGTGGAGAAACACCCGGAGGATCACAGTTGACACGATTCCAACACTTTTCCTTGTTATGTATACATAACAGCCGGAAAAATAAAATGAATCACAAAATTAATTGTAATATAAAATTTAATTTAATTTGTTTACAAATCAAATTAATATAAAAATACACTTCATTTTTACAATATTTCAGACACCGCTTTTAAAAATTATTATTATATTTATAGATTAATAATTAATATATTTCATAGGTGAATAAAGTTAACAAATTATGACATAAAAATACAATAATCTTTCTATATAAATAACAGATATAAAATAATTGTAAAATATTTTTTATTTCTCAAAATGTTACTTAAATTATTAGATTTGGTCTAGGCTCTAGGCGCTTTTAATTTTGAAGATTTTGAAAATATATAAATATCAATAACATAACAACATATACAGAATTTTGATTATTATAATTATTTTTGATAAATTTTATGGTTTAATTGTATATTTACTAAACCTTATTATCTGTATTTACATATAGAGTGATAATTATAATTTGAATCATATCTTATCTATCATAATTATGATATTATATAATTACGATATAATGGTTGCTAGACTTGAAAAGTCAACATTTTGAAGTTCTCCTAATTATCCCTGTCACGAGGCCAGAAGTTATGATAAATTCTTATAAATTTAACTTAAAGTTTTAATTGCAAAGACTGATTAGAAATTAGTTTCAAAAAGTAAGAATGGAATAAATTAAGCATAGACTAATAAGCTGCATGTCATTAATTTAATGCGTTTATTCCTTTGTGGATTAACAGTTTTGTCTGGAAATTCCATGTATTACCTATTGACAGTCGAGACAAGAATAAACGTTTTCTTGAATTTAAATATAAAGCCTTTTTTAACGTAAATACCAACACTAGAAATTCATAATGACGTTAATCTTTATAATCATAATTTACATATTTCTTGAATTTAAATATAAAGC